GAAAAAGGAAAAAGAAAAGGAAGTATAAATATAAGCAAAAGGAAGTAAAAGTAAGGGATGGAAAGCAAAAGAAAAAAGGAAAAAGAACAAGGAAAGGAAAAGGAGGGAGAAGTCAAAGGAAGAGAAAGTAAAAATTAGAAATGGTAAGCGAAAAAAAACAAAAGGACACAAGGAAAGGAAAAGGAAAAGAAAAAGACAGCAAAAAAGAAAAAGAAAAAGAAAAGTCAAGGAAAAGGCAGAAAAGGAAATAAATGGACAAAGGATACTAATTCAAGGAAAAAGACAAGAATGGAGAGCAGGAAAGAAAAGAAACAAAAGGAAACTTAAAGTAAAAGGAAACACAATGTACAGTAACATCCGACCAAGTAACAATGTTCACACTCACCTAATTAGGAGGTTTTTGCTGTGTAAATTCTAAGCTCACTTATTTGGCTCCACTTGAAAGATGTGAAAAATCAGAAACAAAGTAGAAAAGAAAAAGAAAAAGATGAAAGATGGATATGTGATAAAACTGCAGGGAGAAGGGGTCTTCGCCGAGGGGGAATGGAAGAGAAGCTCCATTACATTTTAATGGGAGGAGCCATGACCTCCAGCACCACCTTATGGCAGGTCAGGAGAAGGGTTAACCCTCCAGGGGCAGAAGAATCATGGGAAATAAGGTTTTTAGAGGTCACTGGTTAATGCGTTTATCGCTCCCTCTCTGCGACTCCTACACTAACCTTCAGCAGGCATAAACGTGTGATGGGAAAACAGGGAATTGCAAGACGAGGCCAGTGAAAGACCGGCTGGGCATCTCAACATGCGGTTTCTGAGTGGGCCCAGCGTGCTTCTCACCTTCTCTTTCGGCAAGCTCTACATGCTAAGTGAGAACATTGTTCCGGTCAATTTGTTCCTTTCAGAGCCCCAGTGGGCAGTGTCCTTTAGCCTGACAGCACACTGAGAGAAAACACTCTGTCTGGAAGGGTCTGACATCAAGACAAGTGTGAGGGAGAGACAGAAAGATGTAGGGAGAGAAAGAAAGACTGAGCTCTGTGCCAAAAAGGGAGGGACAGCGAAAGGGTTTGAGATATGGAGAAATCGAGGGCTGACAAAAGGAAAAAAAGAAAAGGGAAGGAAACCGGATGACAGTAAAAGACTGATAAAGAGGACGCCAATGACATGGAGGGAGTTATGGGGCCCTGCATTGGGGAGTACGAGTGAACGGCACCCCTACGCCCACGGACCGCCTCGAAAAGGGTCCACCGGGGGGGCGGGGGTGGCTAAGCAGCCGCAGGTGACGCAAAACCCCAAGGGCAACTGTAAGCGTGCATGTGTGTTCGTCCGCGCGTGTGCCCCCTGGGCCCGGAGCACCTGTTCCCTCGGCACACTGGCCTCAAAACTTGCACTGAGGGGTGAAGTGCGGCTGTTGGGGGGAAAGGGCTAACTTGAACAGGGCACCTATTCAAGAAAACTTGGAACACTCTCTCTATTTCCCTTCATCCACCTCTTCTAATCCCTCCCAATCACATTTCAGAATATCCTTCAAATTACATCGGAGTAAAATCAGCAGGAGGGTTGCTCGAGCTCAGAGCACATTGGGAAGGTTGCACATCTCAACCTAAGGCAGGTAATAAAACAGCTCTGTGTTTGCTGGGGATTAGAACGGCTCAGCTGAACAGTCTGTTAAGATGTAAAGTGCATTAAAGACAATGGCAACAGCAGAATTGAAGTTGTTGAGAATGAGAACAGAAACATAACCGGGTCATTGACATTACTAACTTTTTGTCCTCTCAGTTTATTCAAAAATACATTAAAAATGTAATTCACACATACAATGACTTGAATACACCCGTTTTATAATAAGCATGTTTTTTTCATTCAGAAATTAAAACATGTTGATGAATTTATGATTCATTTTTGAAGGGGGCATACAGGCTAAAATGTTAGGGTGAAATTCTAAAGTCCTGATATTAAAATAATTTTTTTTTTAAACTAAAAAAAAAATAATGTGGTCCATGAAAAAAAAAATGTACAGGAAATTATTTCATAAACTATGTGGCAAGGTCGATAATAAGTCTATTAAAATATCACATAGGCCCTAATTCATTTATTGAAATTCCAACCACCTTTAAAAGAATATTTAAAAACTTTTTGGAAAATAATGGATAATGTGTACTCTCACATGTATTGTACGGAAACTTTTTAATGGTTACACCACTTGACATTTTTAGAGTTATAAAACTGAAGCTTTTTATAAAAATAGTATTTTTAAATGAATACAAAGAGCAAATTTCTAAGAACTTGCGGAAATGAAATGTTTTAAACTAGATTTTTAAAATATCGTGGGCACTTTTATACATCATTGACCCAACTACAGAGCAAGTGACTGCTTCATTTCTTGTTCATAAAAACTGTGCAGCGCAACAAATGGAGTTAAAAAGGGCACACTGAAACCGATCTATTCCGAGTCGTACACTTCCTGTGCACTTCACACATTGTGTGCTGTGGTGCTAATGATAATTCAGTGTGTAATGAGTGGTTTTGTATGTGCGCTCGAAGAGGTCAATGGCAAGCTCACACAAATGCCACCCTCAGTCATGAATCATGGGCCTCAGGGACTGTCGAAATGAAAAAATGTGAGCGCTTAAGCTGGACTGAAACCAAACAAAGAAGATGGATGATAATAACCCAATTCACAATGCAAAAGCTGAACAGCTCTAATGACTGCTATCAAGCTTGAGACCTTTAGTCATGTAGACAGTAAGAAAATTGAGTTTTTGCTTCAAAGAACAATTCTTGTCCATAATAAGCCAGAGTTGTTGGTGGAGAAAACAGGCTGCTATCCTATCCATATCTTACCTTCCTTCACTAAAGGACATCGTCTCCACATGGCAAATCCTCTTTTCACTTCCTTTCTCATCTGCTCTCTCTCCTGGGTTCTTTTAAATGCTTTCACCCTTAGGGACTTCACTCACTTCTTTCTCTTTTTCCAGTCCACAAACCTTGAAGGATAACAAAAGACAGCGCAATGGCTATTTGAATTTGAAACGGGGACTACGACAAAAACCGTGTCTCACAGCGAGGCGGCAGACAGTCCGGTGCTGAAGAGCCAGCCATTCATGAAAGTTCACCCTCATGTTGAGAAACTTAAAAGAAGATGAAAAATACTATTCTGACACAGCGCGACCCACTTACTTGGTGGAATACGAACAGCTGTTGAGTAGGTGTATGTTCAAACACCTGGAAGATACGGCAAGTAAAACAAACACACATAAACACCCACCAACCATACTAAAGCAAACACACACTCTCTTAGATTCAAGTTGCCTATATCAAAAACCGTATTGGGCTCTATATGAGCTATGTGGTTCTTTGGACACTAAAAGAGCTCTTGATGTTTCATTATAGGGTTTTCTGATCAGTGTACTGGGTGGGTTCTAAAAGCACAAGAACATAGTCTTCCTAAAGAACCACAGAATAAATGGCTCTTTGTGGAATTAAATAGGTCCTGCTATGAAATCCGGCTGCAAAATCCTTTTGGTTGTAATTGGAACCTTTATTTTTAAATGCAGCTCTAAATGTCAGTTCATGAGAAACAGGGTGAATGGGGAAAGAAAGAACAATGACACCTAGACACGTTTCATTTAACAGCTATCGTTCACAGTTTTTACAATTGGTTTTGGTCAGAACTGCATTTCTAAATACCTAGTGTGCTTTCAAAAATCTTCAGACAGTCAGAAAACCAGAAGAACATGCAGACTAAACTATAGATCATTTTGTTACTGCATTTAATGACCACATCTTTCAAAATTCATTAAATCTTCTCGAACTCATATACCACTCTAATAAAGAAAAAAAGAAAGAAACAGGCCAACAAGGCCTACCACATGATTTCCCTTATAGCTGACAACATTTTGCCATGTCATTTCATTATCATCATCAATTCAAAAGAGCCCATCTTTGAAATATCATGTAAACATGACTGACTGGGACGGATCAGGCATGCCAAGAGCAAGTGATATAGATACATTATATGTATATTGGTGCCAGTGCATTTGATTAAGGTGGATCTGTTGCACGGATATGTGCAGACACTTGTTTTTGTTTTACAGTATCAAAGCTACATTTTACAGTGGAATTACCGTATGCAAAAAGTAAGGCATGCTGTTGCATACAATTTTTGAGTTTTTTTTCCCTTGTGCTGCATGCAACACAATAAAGAGCTGTCATTCTTGTTTTACAAAAGGCTTCTGGTTTCGGTTAAAAAAAGATCTTGTAATGCTCAGTGTCTTGATGGGTGTGTGAATGTTAGTTAGGTTATGGCAGAATGAGTTCATTTGTTTAGGTGATTTAAGTGCATTTGAGATTAATTGCGGTGTCAAGATGGAAAAGATAACTGTGTGAAGAGTTTGGAGGAAGTACACTCAGTTTTGAGAAATGCACATAACCACTTGTAAAAGACTGCACAAACGCAGTCAACCTGAGAGCAAAAAGCTATAAAAATAATAAATTGAGGCATATGAGAGACCTAAAATGAAGACAATCTTTTAAGACTTGAATTTAATAAAATAATGTCATAATCTAATTGCAATATTGATAAAAAGAAAATACTGAAGGTAAAGTGTTATTGTTGCCAAAACAAATTTTTTCAAGACAAATGAACCTCAGCTACTGTAAAATGTGAAAAACTGTTAATTATTTAATTTTGTTCCACCATACGTAAGGCTTCAACACAACCCGAATTTCATTGGCAAAATCAAGACCAACAACTCTCTAAATCATGTCTAAATACAAAAACGCATTTCTTTAATTACATAAGCGTAATACCTCATAAGGAAGAATCATAACACGTCTGAACAATACTCGAAGACTAATTACTTAGTGTAGAAACAACACAATTCAGGGGCGCGCGCAGAACCAAACCCATCATCGCAACACTGAGATGGAGAGGAAAAACCCGTAACAACTAGCCACTACAATCCAGAACAAAAGCTTACAATTTGGAGAACCAGCACACTTACCGATAACAGCCGCGGGAAACGTTGAGCCCGGTTCTCTGTGAATGACTCGCCTCCTCGGGACTATAATCCAGAATGACTGAGAGGAGAAGAGAGGAGGGGTCCGCGTGAAATCTACTCCTCTCTATCGCACCTGTCTATGTGCAGATCTGATCCCTGATCTGACATCCTTAAGACAACTGTGTCCGAACCCCCAACAACTAACCCCCCGCCCCAACATACACAACGACACCTGTCCCCGGGTAAAAACACCGCGCAACAAAGCTCGTTTATGCTGCTCGTGAACAACTGGCATTCCCGGCTTGGTCCTGCATCCGTTGTATTCCCCTTCGGACAGCCATCCAGTATCCAAGAAGTCGTTTGCAATAAACGGGAATAAACTGCCTTATGTCTAACAAATGATGGCAAAAACAGTCCACGCCAGCGCAACCAGCTGTGCCTTATGAAAACGTGTCTGTCTGGGCTGGAAACACTTGCCTTATAAATCTCCTACCGCTACAATAGTTATTCAGTGCTGCGCCAGTGGAATGAACACGCATCTGAGCGCGTGGACAAAAAGGCACGTTCGTTTGTTTGGTGCGCGGCGCGCGACGCAGCCTCCGATTTGAGTCCAAACTCTGGAATCCGTTAAAGGAAACTCTTATTGTCCGGTAGAAATGTAATATTTCCCGCAATCCCCGGCGTGTAGCCCGCAGCGTTTGGTCTGAAAGAGAAAGATCGCGCGTTTGCTCTCAGCGCTGTTGTAAGTCTGTCACCCACAGCTATTCAAACGCAAGTCAATGCCAAAACCTGACGCAGAATAGAGCTGCGGACTGGAGCGGAATTAATTTGTTGTTAATCACTTGGGGTTAGGAAATAAACCAGCGATACTTGGATGAGGGGATTAGTCTTGGCATAGAAGCAAGCGCAAGTGGCAATGTAAGTGAATTTAATTTGGAGACCGAGAGAGCGAGCTGGAAAAACTTCAAAATAAAGTCATCTTTTCACTGCAAATGCAGTTTAAAATATAAGCTACAAATATGAATATTGAAACATGAAATAATAATTAATAAAAATGTCAACAGCCTACATTATAAATGAAAAAAGGAGAATACATATTCTGTTTTGACGTTAAAAAAGTTTAAGGCTAGAAACGTATTTTACGCAATTTTGCAGACCTAAGCACAGTCCCATTTTAAGGTCACCATGGAATCAGACTTGACCATTTATTTTTTTCATTAATTTTTAATGCAATACTGCAGTGTTTATTATTCATTATTTATCCGTGCACAACATTATTTTAAAAAAGTATATATGTTCCCTGGTAATCAAAACATTCACTTTCTCTCTTCCTCACAATGACATTTCTTCTCTGATGACGTGTGCACTGCCGCGAGGGCGGGACAATAATCCCACCTTTCCAGGAACCTGTTCAATTAATTCTCAATTGCCCCTTTTCTCGTTTAAGAAGTACTCCAATAGGGAAGAAAAGACGATCTCAACTTCTGTTCCATTTCGACTTTAAATACCATTCTGCATTGTGCAGGCGGTAACAAAGCTTAGAGGGCGATGGAGTTAAGGCCTGTTCACGCATAAACGTTTGCAGCACACTTGTTTCACACCAAAGGACGTTACGTAACTATTAGGACTACTAAAGTTTTGTTAATTGTTAATTCTTTGAGAATATGACAGTTCACACCACAACTACAATGAAAACACAACAAAGGAACAATTACAGTCTGACACACTTCGGAAAGCAACAAGGAATAAAAGCATTTCCATTCAGATTCTTGCACAATGTTTTATAATACATAGCAGCAATAGAGCCAGATGCCATATTTTCATATTTTAGTGCAGTGTTATGCTGCGTTGTCTTTACACTGAATTTGAAACAAGTATGCCTTAAGATGGCTTAAACTCTCTCAAGATGATAATTTGCTTTCTGTTATGTGCATATCAGTGGCAGAATGATAAATAATAGCCTGTATCAAGTCAATTAAAACACTCCAATATATTCTATTCCTTTCTGTGGCTTTTTGGGGCCAGTCTCAATTGAAGATTAAAAAAAAAAGTATTATACAGGTGAGATTTTCATAAGACATTTAGGGAGGGTAATAATAACAATCCTCTCCTCCTATCGCTTCTTCTTTCCCTCATTCCTCTTTCTGTGATCATACTCCTCCAAGTTATAAGGAGTCTAGACAACAATAGATGAGTCGGCTCAGTGCAAACAGCAAAGAGATATTCAAGAGTTGGTGATAAGCTAAGGATGCCTTGGGCAGGTACATGAATGTCAAATAGACTGACATTATCAGACAGATATAAACACACCTGAAAAAGTCCCTCTTAACGAACACATGAGCATTTCCTCAACATGACTCAAACTAATTATGTTTACGCACAGAAAAAGAAAAAATCTAGGTGTGTGGTATATATAGTGCATGATTTAGAGTCATTAACAGCACGAGAACCATTGTGACAATTCTGGCCCTTGCACACAAAGTCAATATGATTTGCTGCTGTCACAGTTGGGGTAATTGAATTGGCTGAGCCCCAATGGTTCACAGTTACCCAGTACGATTTTCCTTATTGTGATCTTTTAATAAAAAGTATCAGATTAGGCCAAAGAAACTTTGAGGGAAACATCTCGCTTTGTTCGCGTCTCCGCATTTGATCTGAAGTAAAGCTCTCGCAAGAGAGCGATACGGAACTGACAACAAATAAATAAAAAAAGAGAAGCACAGTTTTGTTCTTCCTGGCTTTCATCCCACACTAGTATCAAATTAGGCCAAAGAAACTTTGAGGGAAACATCTCGCTTTGTTCGCGTCTCCACATTTGATCTGAAGTAAAGCTCTCGCAAGAGAGCGATACGGAACTGACAACAAATAAATAAAAAAAGAGAAGCACAGTTTTGTTCTTCCTGGCTTTCATCCCACACTGCCGCTCTGAAATGGAGCATTTGCTTCAAACCCGGGCCACAAAACCATGTTGGGAACACGAAACGAGGCAGTTTATCAGAGACAAAGAACTTTGAAGAGCAACATTTTTTAGCTCTTACTCCTGCTAGAGAAGCAGCCAAAGATCACCCTGAATCAGCGTACTGCTAACTCTGAAACAGTCTTCATTCTTAGTGGAGATGCTAAAATAACGTTCCTGTCTTCCGCTCCAGGCTAGCGCTGGTTGCTAGGTGCTTATATGGGTGATTGGGCGAGATAAGAACAGTGAGGTCACCATTATGCCACAATATGAGGTGCATTGTGATATCTCTGGGTAATGACATATATCGTAGCTCAGGGGCAGCATTGCATGTGATCAAGCACAATCGAATTACTTGAAGTCACAAGCCAACCATCATGTCTCCATTTCCTTGTGATTTGATTGCAGGTCCTGATAGCAGCCGGTGAATAGCCGTGCAGTTTATTCCATGTTCATATCCATTATTATTAGAGATGTCTAGGTTTTTAATGGAATGGGATACTTCAGTTTCGGACCATTGCTTCAAATACACAGTGGCTTTACAGTAGCTTTGCTTTTGTTCTTGCAGTAACGAGATTTCACTCCATAATTCCATATCGCAAAGCACCATATAGATCATTGTGCTGGCTTGAAACCAAACAGCCTAATGGTCTACATATTCTCAATCATATAGCTGTCTAAAAGCTCCAAAGCCTTATTTGTTCATGAGTAGAATTCATCCAGCAAGTGCCAAACACAACAATTAGCTGAGCCCTAGGTGACTTTTGTCAGCCACCCAAATCCAAGCCTCTTTCTTTACTGTTTTCGCTATAATCGCAAGCACATGTACAAATTGAATCAACAGCCATTATTACTTGCGTCTCAATAAATATACTCTCCATGGAGTCTTGACTCAACATTTGTGAATGCAAATGCAATTACAGGTCATTTGAACTTGGTAGATGCCCAGTGCTGATAAAAATGGAGCTGGTTTGAACCAGTCTAACAATCTATTGTGCTGAGAGGGGAGCTTGGTAGCTGGGTCAATGATATTGTGCTTTTTTTAATCTATTAATTTATTTGGAAATTCATACATACGACTAGAACAAGCCTCTTCTATGATAAGCATGCTTTTATTTTCTGTATTAAAATTCATTTGGATTTTTTATGGATGGCATAAAATCGAAAATGTCAGACAGTGATGCAACAGTGATATCATAATGAAGAAAAATACCTCATTAAAAGAATGAAATTCTTGAAAGAAAACCTTATTAAGTAGTTTGGCATAACAAAACTGCTTGACTGCTTATTAAAATTGGAAAAAATGTTGTCTGCCAAATCAAAGTCATGTGGTTTAATGAACTTGAATAAACATGCAGGGGGTATCATAAAACAGGAAATTATATCAGAGAGGACTCCTGCGGACCATCATAACTATGCGTCAAGGTCAGTAAGACTATTAAAATATCAGATAAATATACCTGTTTATGACAAAGCAAGATTAATTCAGATTGTAAAAGTCTCATGCAGAGTGACACCCCAATAAGCTTAATATTTATGAATATACTGTATATAGCCTATAATAACAAGTAAAAATCTTCTTAAAAATCCAGTTTAAAACATGTGGCAAGTTCTCAGAAATGAATTTTTTTGTGTTCATGCTGGTTTAATATATATTTTACTTGTCTTAATCACTATTTTTGATTTAAATGTCTTTTTCAAGGTAATTTCTCTCTTTCTCTATGCATTTTCTTGAAATTACCTTGAGAAATGTACATTCTTAAGAACATGCCTCATGTTTTTTTAAACTTTTTTATTGTTATAGTTGACTTATTATTATTGTCATTGTGTACAATGTTAGAAAAGAGAAGATAGAGCAATAGAAAAGAGTCTAATTTCTCTTTTCTCAGTGGTCTATGTGCCACAGTTGAAGGCCTTGTTTGGTAAGGCAGCTGCAGTCTGTGATGAGGTCGTCACGGTGGTCTAACTGCGAGCAGATTAGAGATCTCACCTCACCCAGAGTGCTGAACACACCGCGGCCACTGACCCGCCAGCAACCCACACCTGACATGATCCCAGAGCAATAAACACTGGCTAGTGTGAGTGTCTGGAACATTAAAAGCCTCTGGAAAGAAAAAAGCATACAGAAAACTGGGTTAATTTATTTATCTTTGACAGCCTGCTGAATGATAGGCCTAACTGCCTACTCTGTCTGAAAATACACGATGGGTTCCTGTAACCGTTTAGCTTTCGTTGTGTTGCCCTGGAGACAACGGTTTTCGTTTCACCTCTCTATAAATGTTCAGAGGAGTTTGGTAAAATGCTTCTAAAAATGTCAGCCCAGGAGCGGTGGGGTGTATTTCTAGCCATCTCGCATGCTTGCTGCCCACTCAGGGACAGTTTGATGAGTTCCCCGCGATTGTGTAATGGAACCTGACTGTTAACTTCACAGGACATTTCAAAGATTCCGGAGTTTTGTGCAACACTGGACTCATTCCAAAAATCACAGAGAAAGCATTCCAGTGAACGTCACGGAACGACAATGAAATGTAAACAGTAAAATCACAACAGATATTCTGTGTTGATGAATTACACGGGTTTGTCAGAGTATTAAATAGCGTTTGTTGCAGAAGTCATATGAGGTTTATTTAAAGTTTGAATATGGTGACAGAATGTTTTAGATTAATGAGTGATGTCAGTCTGTGTAAAGCGATTTTGACTGTGTAGAGCATTTAATTTAAGCAGAAGTACATTTAATAATCTCACAAGAGCCACAAATCCCAATATTATATATACTGTATATATATATA